CCGCCTCCCGCCTCGGGAAAAATCCCATAGAGAAATAAGCGTCGCAATATATACACATATATGTAGGTCCGGAAGTATGTTCCGGGACTTTTATTTTTGATATCGGTATATTCCAGGACATTTGGCAGTTTCCAGGACTGTCCTGGAAAAAATTCATGTCCTACGGCACTTTTCAGGACAGTTTTTTTAATCTGATTACATATATATGCGTTATATTCCAGGACTGTATATTTCAAAAAACGTAAAGAGTCCCGGAACATACCTCTAGACCTACATATATATATATATATATATATATATATATATATATATCAGGGTGTGTCATTTTGGAGCAACTTTTTTTTTCATTTTAAGAATAGCATATATACTTACAGAAAAGTAAAATAAGATACCTGTTAAAATTTTAGCCTTTAATATTAATATTAATAGGTCGCTCATCGCGATTTTTTATTTTTCATTTAGTAAGATAGAAAAAATTTTATAACTATCTAACAAACAGTAATACAGCATTGCGCCACATAGATTTTCTGTAGTAAATTTACTGCTCTAAAAAAAAGATCTCTTATCATTTTTTCATAAATTCAACCGTTCAAAAGATATTCAAAGTTAAAGTTTGATAAATTTTATGAAACTTATTTTTGCTTCTTATGAATGTTGTATCATATCGACTATCAAAAATTATGAAATAATTAATACATATTTTTGTAGAAAATTTAACGATCTACAAAAAAGGTCTCTTATGTTTTTTTCATAAATATAACCATTTAAACGATATTAAGGTTTATACTTTGAACTTTAAACCTTAATATCGTCTAAATGGTTATATTTATGGGGCAAAATTTGTCAACCGGGCCACCGGTCTGCCCATAATTGTTTTTATCGCAGAAAAATTACCTTGCGCCTAGAGGTAGCTATGAGTAAGAGCTATCGAAAGCCGTGTGCAACTTTGCAGAATTCAATGTGGCGGTACCAAAATGGCGACCGAAACATCTGAAATCCATTAACGGCTTCAATGAAACTATTAGAAAACGAAGAAAATCGTGATTAAAACAGCTCTAAAATGACCTGTGTTAGAGTTAATAGTAGGTTGACCACAAATCAGTAGCTGGGTGATCGAAATTTGGGATGGTAATTCAATATGGTGGCCAGAAACTGCATTTACGGACCGCAAACTACTGACAATTGACCGGATCCACTTGAAAATGGTTGTGCGGGTGGTTCATGGACTGTATGTGACAAATCCGATCCCAAAGAAGTAAAATCCAAAATGGTGATGATCGAAATCCAGGATGGTGATCCAATATGACGGCCGATCCACTCTGTATTGTAAATCATTGGAAATTCAGCAGATTCACTCAAAATTCGAATTATGAAACAGGATTCATAAAAATGGATTTGACACCTAGGGAAATACCTTTTTCACAACACCTCCACGGAAAATTCGACTTTCCATGCCTGTAGAGAGGGGCGAAAGTGGTCAATTTCACGCCAGGACGGCCATAGCGAGCGGAAAGTAACCATTTTCCTCCCTAGGGAAGAAAGTAGCAACTTATACCTCCTTGTTTAGCGGGTGGAAAGTGAGCACTTTCCGCCCGCTATGGCCGCCCTGGCGTAAAATTGACCACTCTCGCCCTTCTCTAGGCATGGAGGTCGAACTTTCCGTAAAAATGTTGTGAAAAATATCGTGTGCACCTCGGATTGAAAGCTTTTTCAGACTCGTGTGATTTGCTGCTCTCGTCTTCGGCTCGGGCGGCAAACTTCACACTCGTCTGAAAAACGCTACTTGAGTTCTGCTGAATTTCCAGTGATTTACAATACAGAGTGGATCGGCCGTCATATTGGATCACCATCCTGGATTTCAATCATCGCCATTTTGGATTTTGCTTCTTTGGGATCGGATTTGTCACATACAGTCCATGAACCACCCGCACAACCATTTTCAAGTGGATCCGGTCAATTGTCAGTAGTTTGCGGTCCGTAAATGCAGTTTCTGGCCACCATATTGAATTACCATCCCAAATTTCGATCACCCAGCTACTTATTCGTGGTCAACCTACTATTAACTCTAACACAGGTCATTTTAGAGCTGTTTTAATCACGATTTTCTTCGTTTTCTAATAATTTCATTGAAGCCGTTCATGGATTTCAGATGTTTTGGTCACCATTTTGGTACCGCCACATTGAATTCTGCAATGTTGCACACGGCTTTCGATAGCTTTTGCTCATAGCTACCTCTAGGCGCAAGGTAGTTTTTCTGCGATGAAAACAATTATGGGCAGGCCGGTGGCCCGGTTGACAAATTTTGCCCCTGTTCGAGATTCCGTTAACGCTGCGCCGTCAGATCAGATAGCAGCATCGATCGGGTAACGACGCTAGATCACCGCGGCAGCTTGCGCCGCGCACGGGCGCGCTCATCGCCAACGTCTTTCTCGCAATATTCAGAGTCGTACAAATGGCCGCGCAGTGATCAGACGCACGACGTGTGCTCTGTGCATTTTTGATTGTGACTACACATCGAGGTGCCCACCGCAGTGATTACAACAGCTGCCGAGATACTGCATTAACATGTAAAGCGACCGCTCATCCAGCTCTACTCGGGTACATCAACACGACAACTCAGGCTCACATGTGCGCGAGTGCCGACCGCCACGTGTCTCACCGGCTCACGGGCGATTCATCGAAGAGGACGGCAATTAATATAATTGCCTTTCATTTACACAGACTATATAGACACCTCATTTTGTTCACCGCTCATCACTCTCAGGTCAGATTGTATCAATTTTGACGCATTAAAGACGCATTAAAGACGGCTCAGACTGTGGTCTGAGTTACACAAAAATAAAGTGAATATTTAGTTAACACCTTCCACGCGCGTCCTTCTCATCCCGCTTCCATCGCCGGGATTAATCAGCGATTTCGCGAACATTTGGTCCTTCGAGCCGGATGCGTGGAAATTAGAGTGTAACTCAGACACAGATCATGTGGACAGGGCATGTCCTTCACGACATGCCACGTGGACATTATCGCGCGCTTTCGCGAGTGAAGGACAGACATTCTCCCGCGCGCTCACGAGTGTTTCGAAAACATGTTCACGCGCTCCCGCGAGTGTAAATAGACATTTTCACGTGCTCAATACATGACATTGTAGACTCTCGATTCGCATAGTGTTTTTCTCACGCGTCTCTCGAACGTTCTCGATTCGTGCAGCATTTCTTACACGTGTCTCGACATTTCTCAGGTATTTCATCGTGCGCAGCTCAGGGACGGCTCAACATGACGGAACCCGCAAAGGCGGGTACGGGCGGTACGGAGACCACGACGCCGCTGCTCGAGAACCGGCTCGCACATCGGAACGCCAAGCCTCACCCGTGCGCTTGTCCAAGGAGCTCATCCTAAATGAATCACCTGGCGACGTGCGGAATATTGGCGACACGCTGCCAACTTGTGCAGAGGACATGCCGTTAGAGGAGGTTATCCAAATCTCAATGCATCTTGAAGAGGCGAACAAGGCGTTTCTCAAGGAGCATGCATATCTTAAAGCTTCACAGCCGTCGGCGCTCGTTCAACAGCAAAGCGCACGTTGACAGCTCAGCATGTGGCAGCTCAACCGGCCCGCACGGCAGCATCTAATTTACCCGTGCGATTGTTGCAACGGCACTCACTTCATTGTGATGTGTACGTAATTTAGGGATCTTTCAACAGGCAATCGACAAAAATTAGTCATACCACGGAGGATTTGGTTTAAATTCCTCGGCCGCCACAACGGCCACTCATGTAAAGGCTCACGGGGGTGCAAGAAGTGCACCAACCGACACGATGCTGCATGAGGCTCATCAATCGAACTCATCAGCGAAGCCGATCACCAGCTCAGCTGCGTCAGCTCAATAGGAAGATGGTGCAATCGTCGTTCACTCATCTTTGGCCTGCTCATTACACTCAACATTACTCGCTACGGCCTTGGCTCAGATCAGCTCATCTGTTTATACTCAATGTGTATGCGGCCTCTCATTGATTCAGGTTCAGACCTTACCTTTGTTTCAGAATCTCTCGTTCGCCAGCTCAACATCACTCGTCATCATTCCGTCATTCTCATCACGGGAATTGGTGGCGAAGAAGGCGACGCAAACTCGAGGAGTTGAATGCTTACACTCCACTCATTTCATTCAAGAACAGACGTCATTATTCAAGCTCACATTCTGCAGACGTTAACAAACATCCTGCCATCCTTCAACGCTGCACCACAAGAATGGCCGCATCTCACCAAGCTGACCTTGGCTGATCCAGATTTCCTAACACCACGGCCAGTGGATATCATCATTGGAGCTGACTCATATGGACAGATCATCAAGCCCAACATCATCAAACGAGATACATTGATGCCAATTGCGCAGCTCTCTTCGGATAGCTCGTTCTCGGACCTGTTAATACATCATCATCGGCAATTGCCACCGTGCATCATGCCTCCGTTCAGGAGGGAGAAGATGCTCTTGACGACTTGCTGGCGAAATCTGGATACAAGAAGGAGAGCCTGCGAGCAACAATCTTGATCTTATTCCTGACGAGCAAAGATGTGAAGAACATTTCAAGAGTACTGTTTCACGGAATTCAACAGGTCGATACAGAGTTCGACTTACACTGAAATCATCACTTGATACTCTTGGCGATTCGTATCTCACTGCGCATCGATATTTGAAAGGTTTACAAAGAAGACTCTCACGAGATGACAACTATCGACGTCTGTATCATCAGTTTATGATACTCTATCGAAAGCTCAATCACATGAAGCTTTACCCGTTTCCAGTCAGCACATACAAGATTACTTGCCACATCATGGAGTGCTCAAACCAGACAGTGCAACCACAACATTACGTGTGGTATTTAATGGCTCGAGTGCATCTACATCCAGCCGCTCATTTAATGATCTCATGCACACAGGAGCCAAACTGCATTTCGACATCACCGATGTCTTGCTCTGGATTCGACAAGTTCGGCACTTAGTTGCCACTGACATCACCAAAGGGTATAGGCAGATCAACGTGCATGAAGATGACTGAAAGTTACAACGGACTCACTGGATAGATGAACAACTCAATGAAGTGCCATATCATCTAACAACGGTCGATATGTTGATGACAATTCTGGAGGCGACGACACCGTTCAGCAGGTAGTCAATACTGCTCAACGGACTTGTGCATGGCGGGCGGCTTCCCATTAGCAAGGTGGCACGCGACTCATCAAGATGTACTCACTGCGGTTCAAGCAGAAAAAGACCAGGGCTCACAAACTACATTGACGATTGCGTAACCAAAAAACTCAGATTACGATGGCTTCCTCAAGAAGATTCATTCACATTCTCAACAAGGATCTCGTCGCACACCGATCATCTCACCAAACGCCTCGCTTGGTCTGAAGTGGCTCAGATACTCGATCCATTGGGCTTTGTATCCCCAGTGGTGATCAAGGCGAAGATGCTCTTGCAGGAGCTTTGGCTACATGAAGCTCCAATGGGATGAACCACTGCCATCCCAGCTCTCATCACGGTGGCTCATTATCAGAAAAGAACTCACAAGCTTGCAAGCTCTCAATACCTCGGTGATACATCCAAGGTAGCACCTCTCAAACCATATGGAGTACCTCGTCAGTAGAATTTCACGGCTTTTTTGATACGTCTCAATTGGCAATGGCTGCAGTCGTATTTATCACCGTCCACGGCTCTAATGGCGCCACGATTTCATTGGTGTGCTCCAAAACGAAGGTAGCACCGCTCAAACGGCTCACCATCCCGAACTCACCGCAGCACAGCTGCTCTCAAGACTCATGCCATACGTTCAAGCCACCTTGAAGTTGAACGTTACAGCAACTCACCTGCGGACGGACTCTGTTGTGACACTCACGTGGATCAAATCTCATGCATCGCGCTGGAAGGATTTCGTGAGAAATCGAGTTTTTCAACTTCAAGAGCTCACTGCGAACGCACATTGGAAATACGTACCAGGTACGTCCAACCCAGCCGACTGCTCATCACGAGGATTAACTACTGCTCAACTTCAAAGCCACTCATTATGGTGGACGGGACCACCGTGGATTCTCACACCTGAAGCATGGCCATCTCAACCCGCGCTTCCTGACGAATTAAACGGTCATGAGGCTCGTCCTGGCATTGCTCTATATGCAGCTGCATCTCAGCCGAACTATCATTGGGATCTCATACTCAAGTACTCAACCTTCAATAAATTATTGAAAATAATAGCTCTCTGTTTCAGGTTTATCGCTCTCTTGAGAGGGTCCTGGGACGGGTCGTTGGATTCGCACTCTGCTTTGGAGAAGGCCAGATTCTTCTGGATTAAGGCTACTCAAGCGGCATACTTCACGTACGAGATCAAGATGCTCACGGCCAACTCGAGACTACCAACTGCTCACGCATCCAGTCGATTGACTGCGTACATAGACGCTCAAGGACTCATCCGAGTTGGCGGCCGTCTCAATCAACCAGCACTAGATCAAGACAACAAACATCAGGCGATGTTACCTCGCCACTTCTCAACCTTAATCATCGCTCACGCCCATTTGCGCACCCGGACTGGAGGAACTCAGCTGACATTGGTTCATGTCAGGCACAATTACTGGATCATCGGCGGACGGGCTCCGGTGAAGTCTTGTATTTTTCGGTGTGTCGTGTGTGCTCGGCAGAGGGGGATCCGTGCTCATCAACTGATGGGCCAACTACCTCTTTCTCGGGTTACGCCGTCACGTCCGTTTACTCATACAGGAGCTGACTATGCCGGACCGCTCACTATCAAAACATGGAAGGGACAAGGTGTGAAAATATACAAGGAAGGGATCTGTGTTCGTCTGCTTCTCCACTTCCGCAATTCACCTCGAAGTAGTCAGTGACTACCCATTAGAAGGATTCATAGCAGCCTTCCGAAGATTCTCAGCTAGAAGGGGAATTGCTCAGATCATGTATTCGGACTGCGGGACAACATTCATTGGAGCAGACGCCGCGCTCAAGAAAATGTTCATCCAAGGCTCTCAAGAACATCACGGATTGCTAAAGTTTTACAACTTACTGACACAGGATGGGAGTTCAACCCACCAGGCGCTCTACACATGGGGGGCAAGTGGGAGGCGGTAGTAAAGTCTGAAGTTTCATCTGAGACGGACTACCGGGGAGACTCTACTCACGACGGAAGGACTCACAACGTTGCTTACGCAAACCAAGGACATTCTCAACTCGCGGCACTTAGAACCGCTGAGTGACGACCCTGAAGACGTCTCAGCGCTCACACCAGGTCATTTCCCCATTGGAGGTCCAATCACTACCATACCCGAGCCATCTCTGATTGACCTAGGAACCTCACGACTATCTCGGTGGCAGCTCATCCAGCAGCGTGTTCAACATTTTTAGGCACAATGGTCGGCTGATTATCTGCAACGCCAGCAGGCGATATCCAAGTGGCATCATCCTAACAACAACATCAAGATGGGTTCCATCGTGCTGCTCACCGACGAACGCTCTCCACCGTGCAAATGGCCACTCACCAGAGAAACAGCTTTGCACCCCAGCAAGGGTGGACTCACCAGGGTGGTTACCCTCAAGACGGCCACCACGACACTCACTCGGCCAAATGCCAAGCTTGCCATATTACCCATTTCAACCGGAAGAAGGATCAAGAGTAAGGAATCATCAACAAGGTTGCTGATGGCGGGCGGAATGTTCGAGATTCCGTTAACGCTGCGCCGTCAGATCAGATGGCAGCATCGATCGGGTAACGACGCTAGATCACCGCGGCAGCTTGCGC